CGGTGGTTGGGTGCTTGCGGGCAGCCGGTCCCAGGGGTCCCAGTCGAGACCCCTTCCCGCCCTGCCCTGCCCTGCCCTGCCCGACAGGGAAACTGAGGCAGAGGAGGGGAGAGGGGGCAGGGACTGCGGGACACCCCAGCCCGAGTCGGGCCCCCTGGGCTCCTGGCCCACCTCCGCCACTGCCCGGCACCCAGCCCCGGGCCTGTTTCCCCATCCCACCCCGCCCCGCTGCAGGACAGGACCCTTTCCTTCCGCCCTCGCCTTGTGCTGCAAAGAGGCCCTGATCCTGGCAGGGCCGGGCTGGGCCGGGCCGGGCCGGGCCGGGGTCCCCACTGCCACCCCCCCCGTAGAGCAGCCGAGGGGCCCAAGGCAGCGCTAACCCCCCCAGCGCCCCTTAGGGCTGTGCTGCCCCGGGGAGCGGGTTCGGGTCTCGCTGGAGCTGCTACGTCCAAATCCGACCCGGCGGGAAGCAGCAGGGTCCCAGGCCTGCCCCCGACAAACCTCCCCGGCCCCCCACTCCCTGCCTCGGTGTCCCCAGCTGGTCCCGTCTCCCCCAGGGTGGATCTAGAGACCTCCGGGGGGACAAAGCCTCCGCCATCCGTCCCCTCTGCTCAATGATTTGCAACACCCCCCCCAACTCAGTCTCTTGTGGCTTCAAGACCCCCCAACCCTGCTGGCATGACTCGCCGCCCCTGCAGCTCCCAGCCGGCCCCCCACTCCCTGCCTCGGTGTCCCCAGCTGGTCCCGTCTCCCCCAGGGTGGATCTAGAGACCTCCGGGGGGACAAAGCCTCCGCCATCCGTCCCCTCTGCTCAATGATTTGCAACACCCCCCCCAACTCAGTCTCTTGTGGCTTCAAGACCCCCCAACCCTGCTGGCATGACTCGCCGCCCCTGCAGCTCCCAGCCCTACCCCGGCCCCAGGCCCAGGCCCCCCCCTTGCACTGGGGGGGGGCAGGAGCTGCATGGGGGGGCACAACTGGGGTACAACACTCCCACCCTGCGGGCGAGCTGGGAAGTGCGGCACCCCAGGAGCCGGCCTAGCTCCCTCCTTGCTGCTCCTGGGCTTGGCTTTCCAGGCCAGACCTTGGGGCCTTCTGAAACCGCGGGGCGCGTCGTCCAGGGCAAGACATGGTCACCGCCCGCCCGGCTGCAGGTCCACGCCGGACAGCACCTCGGCCGAAGCCGGGGCCCGGACCCGCTTCAACGGAGCGCAGCAGACACGATAAAGGGAAAGCAGCGCACGAGACACCGGAGCAGAGCTCCAGCTCCTGGCAAGGGACGCAGCCACGGGCCTTAGACAGAGGGAGATGCGGGCTCAGCGTCTAGACCAGGCGTAGAGCTGCAAACCCGAACGCAGCCGCCTTCATTATGGAAGACCATCTGTTCGGGGAGAGGGCAAAACAGGAGGCGGCCAAGCCGTGGTCCACAGGGGTGAAGGAAGGAGGTGAACCCCAACTTGGACACCTTTCACGTCCGCAGGAAAACTGGCTCGGTTCAGCTCCCAAACTTCCTGCAAATCAAGAAATTTAAGTACAACCCATTAGAGGTCGGAGAATCGCAGGGGCCTGGAGGGACCCCTGGGGTCACGTCCCGTCCAGCCCCGGCCTGCGGCAGGACCAGCCCCGACACGCCCGGCCTCGAGCCTCTGAGCTACACCAGGCCCGACCCCGCACGGGGCATGGCCCTCTCCCAGGAGAGCAGGGGGCCGCGGGGGAACGGCCTGCTGCCGCCGGGGGCGGAGGAAGGCAAAACCCTCCCCGGTGCGGACCAGTCTGAGCAGGGGGAAATCCCTTCCTGCCCCAGTGCAGCGCGGGGCTGAGCCCAAGCATGGGGGCAAGTCCTCCCCGCCGGGACCCTGCGGGGTTGGTTCAGCCCCAGCACCTCTGGGGGAGATTGAAACCCCCCATACACGGAGCAGAAAGCGGGGCAAACCCAGCGCAGCCCAGGAGCCGGAGACATCCTCACCGGCATCGCGACCCCCGACCAGGGACTGTCCCCCTCGCCGCGAACCCCGGGGCTGGGGACTGCCCCGCTCCCAGCCCCAACAGCGAAGAAGGGTTTCCGCACGTCCAACCTAAACCTGCGTCGCTGCAGCTGCAGCCCCGGACCCGTGACCACGACCACATCCTCTCTGCAGCAGGACAGAAAAGCCGCCTTCCCTCTTCTTCACGGCAGCCCTGCAAGTACCCGCAGCCCGCTGCCGTGCCCTGGCCTGCCTCTCCCGCCAGCTGAACATGCCCAGCTCCTTCGGCCTCCCCTCGTCACCCCCGTCATCTTTGCTGCCGCGGGCCCCTCTCTGTCTTCTCCGCGTCCTTTCAGACCCGTGCACTGTCTGCAGACGAGGCCCACGCTGGGCCGCGCCGAAACACCGTCGCCTCCCGCCGGATGCTTCTGCGGTCAGATTAAAACCGGCCCTGCAGAACCGCGGCGTCTAGGCCCGAGGAGTTTGGAGAAACCGGCACATCCGAGACCTGCTGCCAGTCCAGGCCTCCCGAGTCTGCCGCGGCCGTGGAGGTGGACACCTGCGTTGTGCCGTCACGGGAATCCCGAGACTTTGGGGCAGACGCTTGGTTTTGTGCGTTGAAGCACGGACCAAGAACAGGCCGGGCTGCGGGCCTGCTTCAGCCTCGTCTACCAGCAGCCGACCTGCGAGGTTACCTGCAACGCCGCCCGCCGGCCCCGTGACGCAGCCGCGGCTCCCAGCATGGAGCCGGCCGCCGGCCTGGCGGGGGCGTGGGGCCCGA